ATAATTACAAGTGGTAAACTTCAAATTTTGTGCAACCAACTTCAATATGAATATAATTTATTGTTGATTTTTTTTAAACCGCTAGACCGATTTCGATAAAATTTAAATGGGACCACCTGGTAAGTATAACCTTTAAAACAAAAAAAGATTTTCCAAATTGGATCAGGCATCTTCGACGAATTGAGAGCCCCCTCCTTTTTAGGAGTCGGTTGATAAATTAGAAATCAAGAGTAACGACGTCATAAGCAATGATGCTGTTGGTTTGCATACTAAATTTATTTTGGTGTTATCATGTAATTATATCCATGTGAAAATCTGGAAGTTATTAAATATTTTTTATAGAAGAGGAGGCAAACGAGCACTGACCGCCGCTCATGAACAACTACAATAGCAAGGGAATTGCAGGGTGTGTTTCAGGCCTTTTAAAGAAGATTAAGCTCGTTTCTTGAAGATCCGGAAAAAACGCCGGACATAAACAAAAATAAAAATACAACTCTGATCTCATTTCTATATCTGAATTTAAAACGAACACTATAGATCATAATCTGTACAGTTATGCTATAGCTTGGTTTTTTTTTAAATAATGATCACAAACGTGCACACAGTCCACCTGGTTGTAAGTAGATGTTATGGCCCATACACATCTTTATTTATCCTCGATTAAGAATCAATTTGTAGATGCGTTATCATTACTGAGGACAAAGATGGAATGCATCCTTTCCAGTAAAAAGGGTCTCCGTTTTTTACACTCACCATACGAGACACAGCAGCATGAAATTTTTATTTTAAGCTGGTATTCTGTTCGCCGTGTAGTGGCGGTTAAGAATATCCACTACCCCATATCTTCCCGAGGGTGTCGTAAGAGGCGACAAAGGGAAATAGGCAGTAGATGGGCAGCAGCATCTTCCTGATAACAACAAACTTACAATAAAAAAACTGCGGTTGCCAACCTGCTCGCCAAGCGTGGCAACTATAACAATATACCCCCCATGAGCAATGACAATAATAAACGGCCCCCAGTCCCCGGCGGCCCCGCTATTCCTGGCTACGGTGGCGATCATGGTAACGGCGGGGCAGGGGGTGCTAAGAATCTCCGGTGGAGGTTCAGTTGCCACCTAAGACGACTCGACCTGGCAACATACAACGCACGCACCCTGAGGACTGACGGGAAGATCTTGGAGCTGGAAGAAGAGATAGGCAAGTTACGCTGGCATATTATAGGATTATCCGAAGTCCGAAGAGAGGGGGAGGACACGGTAATCCTCGAATCCGGCAACTTGCTCAATCACCAGGAGTGTGACCATCTGTCCCAAGAAGGTGTCGGATTTATCGTCCACAAGTCTCTCGTTAACAACGTTGTAAAGATTGAGAGTGTGTCGACGAGGGTTGCGTACCTTATACTCAGAATCACCAAACGGTATTCGCCAAAGGTCATACAGGTTTACGCACCAACCTCGGCACACCCCGATCAGGAGGTGGAGGAAATGTATGAGGATATCTCTAGTGCCATAAATTCCTCCAAAACCCAATCTACGGTGTTAATGAGAGACTTCAACGCAAAACTAGGCACAAGAGAGAGCTGAAAAAAGAGAAATTCGGAATAGGGCAACGAAACTCCAGAGGCCAGAAGCTGGCCGACTTCATGGAGAAAGAGCGACTCCTTATGATGAACTCTTTCTTCCAGAAGCAGCCCCACAGGAAGTGGACCTGGTCGAGCCCCGACGGTTCCACATGAAATGAGATTGATTTCATTATGACGACCAGACGACAACTGTTTAGTGATGTCTCCGTGATCGCGAGGGTGAAAACTGGTAGCGATCACCGAATAGTTAGAGGCACACTAAACCTAAACATTAAGTTCGAGAGGTCTCGTCTAATGAAGTCAACACTCCGTCCCCCTCGTGCTCTGTTCCAATGTAACGAAACCTTTCAGCTTGAGTTACTAAACCGTTTTCAGTGCCTAGAAGATTGCAATGAAGTGGACGATATGAATAACAAGCTCGTGGAAACTGTCCATGCAGTCGGAGCTAATTTCTGCAAGACCCGCCGCAGACGAACACAAAAACTCTCTGATCACACTCTCAATCCCATGGCTATTAGACGGGAGATGAAGCTACATTCTTCGACAGATTTGATAGCATACAGCCATTTGAACAGACAGATCTCCAAATGCATGCGGCGGGACTTACGCAACTTCAATACAGCTTGTATTGAAGAAGCGATTGAGCGGAACCAAGGCTCCAAAGTCTTTGTCAGAGATCTGTCTGCCAGAAAGAGCAAACTGTCACGGCTGAAGACCGAATGTGACAGCCGTTTCCGGGGCACCTGAGATTTTGAGTGAGATTGAGAGATTCTATGGGCAGGTGTACACGTCATTGTTGGAGCCACACGCAAGTGTGAGTAACGATCCAAGAGAGAGTCTTATCCGACACTATTCCGAAGATATCCCGGACGTCAGTCTGAGCGAGATTAGAATGGCTCTCCAGCACCTTAAGAAACGACAAGGCCCCATGCGAGGATGGAATTACAGCGTAGCTTCTGAAAGCGGGTGGAAGACCGGTACTTGAAGTCATTCATAAGTTCTTTATTTCCGTCCTCCATGACGGCGTTACACCGGAGGCGTGGAGCAGAAGTGCGGTGGTCTTGTTCCTTAAGAAAGGTGACAACGCACTCTTCAGGAACTATAGACCGATTTCCCTTCTGAGCTGCGTCTACGTGCTGTTTTCGAGAGTCATGACGAATTGTCTCGCGCGCAGACTTCACGACTTCCAGCCTCCCAAACAAGCCGGTTTCCGAAAAGGCTTTAGCACCATAGACCACATACATACCCTTTGGCAAATTGTACAGAAGTCAGAGGAGTACAATTTGCCACTATGTCTGGCGTATGTGGACTATGAGAAAGCCTTTGATTCCGTCGAAATTTGGACGGTGCTGCAGTCCCTTCAGCAGTGCCAAGTTAACTGTCGGTATATCGAAGTGCTGAAGTATTTGTAATGTAGAGCTACGATGGCTATCCGAATACAGAACCAGAGTACGAAACCTATCCAATTGCAGATAGGTGTAAGACAGGGTGATGTTATATCCCTGAAACTCTTCACCACTACATTGGAAGACGTTTTCAAGCTTCTGGACTGGAAAGGATACGGTATTAACATCAATGGCGAGTATACCACTCACCTTCGATTTGCCGACGATATAGTCATCATGGCAGAATCGCTGGAGGACCTAAGCACCATGCTCAATGACCTCAATAGTGTCTCCCAACGAATAGGTCTTAGGATGAACATGGACAAAACAAAGATCATGTTTAATGTCCACGTCACACCTATGCCGGTAGTTGTTGGGAGATCTAAGCTCGAAGTTGTTGACAAGTATGTTTACCTGGGACAAATAGTCCGACTAGGTAAGTCCAACTTCGACCGAGAGTTCAATTGACGGATTCAACTCGGCTGGGCAGTGTTCGGGAAACTACGACACATCTTCTCGTCAGACATACCTCAAAACCTTAAAACGAAATTGTACAACCAGTGCGTGTTGCCAGTGATGACTGACGGATCTGAGACGTGGTCCTTCACTGCTGGCCGTATGAGGAAGCTCAAGGTCGCTCAGCAAGCTATGGAGAGGGCTATGCTCGGGGTTTCTCTGCGTGATAAACTTAGAAATGAGTATATCCGCAGTAGAACCAGAGTAACCGACATAGCCCAACGGATTAGTAAGCTGAAGTGGCAGTGAGCCGGCCATATAGCTAGAAGAACCGACAACCGATGGGGGAGAAATGTTCTTGAGTGGCAGTCTCGTACCGATAGGCGAAGTGTAGGGCGACCCCCACGAGATGGAGTGACGACCTGGTAAGACATGCAGGAAGTCGATGGATGCAGGTGGCTCAGGACCGTGCTTTGTGGCATTCCTTGGGGGAGGCCTATGTTCAGCAGTGGACTTATGAAAGGCTGTAATGATGATGATGATTCTGTGATAGCGTGGTCTCACTTGTCGAGCCGACTCATTCGTGCTACTAGCATATCATAACTGCAGCATGGCTCTACTACGTATACGATGTTTGTGAGAATAAATATTGTTCATGTTTGAAAAATTTTGAAAATTTGTTGAAAACTCTGGTACGTTGATTTGATCAATTCATTTACAAATGTATGAATTTTGACTGATCTTTATGAATATTTTTAGAAGAAATAATATACACCGAAACAATATACTGTTATAAAATCTAGGACATTACTCTTAATTTTATTTTATTTTAATTAGTTTGAATTATAATATTTTTATTTTAAATCGGTGTATATTTCTTGTATACTAGTTTTGAGTTTGTCTGTAACTATCTTTAATGAAATACTAATTATTTACGGTTGTCTATAAGAGCGTCAAGCAAAGCACTCCACGGATTGAAACTTTATATGAGTAATATTGCAAATAAGTCAAGCTCCGTACATTAACAAACTATCCGGCAACTTTCTTCATTAAGTATAGTGATTTCATGAACATAAAGCATATAAGTTCCTTGTTTATAGAAATTAGTTTTGACGAGTTAATCTGTCATAATTATTAAGACATCTACATTGCTGTTAGCTAATGCTTTGTTATCAGTGGTTATCAGTGCATGACATATATTCGAAATACGATATATTTTTGTCTAGTGATTCATTAGCCCTCCTTAACAAATCATCTATATATTATTAGCTGACTTCAAAAACAGGAGGTACTGTAAGAATATACTGTATTTTCTGCCGACTTCCAAAAAGGAGCCGGTACTCAATTCGACTGTATGTTTTTTTTTTTTCGTTTTTTTTTTGTTTTTTTTTTTATGTGTGTTACCTCAGAACTTTTTTCTGGGTGAACCGATTTCGATGATTCTTTTTTTATTTGAAAGCTGGTACTTCTCGTGTGGTCCCATATGAATTTGATCAAGGTCAGACCAATAGTTTTTAAGTTATTCTTAAATAACTTATATTGAAGTCGGCTGTACAAAATTTTTAATTTTAAATTATTTGTGTGTATATTATACGACATCTTCGTCAATTGGGACTGATTTTGTTGATCATTTTTTAATTATATTTATATTTTTATTAAATTTGGTTATAGGTACTTAATCTCATGAAGTGTCTCAAAATAGGGAATTAAATAAAGTTTTAATGTAATTATTGAGACAACACTGAGATTATGATATTCCTAAGTCCACTCAAAAGGGTAAAAAAAATAACTTTTAATAAAAGTAAAAGCTTCAAAGATCTAAAAAGCAGAACATTATTTCACATTCTGAATTTTGGGCTTCAATTCCTTAATATAGTTGTCTTAACACCGACTTATGGGCAAACAAACAAACGTAATTTTACGCGATTTTAAGATGTTGTTAAGGCTTTTGGTGTCACAATAACTTTGATTTCAAGTGATTTAAGATTTAAGAGTGAGACAGCACGAGACTTAACGACATCATAAAATTGAGTATTTGGACGTTAGATTATGAAAAATTTTATTTTATTAGTTCTTTGTAGTCAGTTTATACTTTTAATTGGAAACTAATTTTTCATATTACCAGTGCTTGTCAAGTTGACTTTTGTGTATGTTATATTATTGGTAATTATATGATTTTATATAAAATAAAAAAGAAACCGACTTTATAATTTCATAGGTTTTAGTTCAAAGGTCTTTCATAATAATTTTCAAAATATAAAAAGTACACTTTCAAATATAGTTACAAAAATAATAATTATATTTTTACAAAAAAATATAACATAAAAAAAACCAAGTACATAACTGTTTTAGATTCGAAAAAATGTTTTGCTGAAAAAAGTAATAATAAAAAAATGGTGTACTTGGTGTGCATGATTAAGAGTATTGATCACCAAACTTGACATTTGAAGTCGTTTTTTTATAACTTTTTTGAGTTATGCTCGTTAAGGCCTTCGACTGTGTTCACCATGAGACATTAATCAGGAAGCTACAGTACTATGGTGTCAAGAACACAGCGCTTAAACTTATTATTTCATATTTAAGTAATAGAAAACAGAAAGTTATTATCAATGGAAAAAGTTCTTCCGGGTCACCTGTACTAATGGGTGTTCCTCAGGGCTCGATTCTCGGCCCATTCCTGTTTCTGGTCTATATTAATGACTTACCTCACCTTATAGGGGATAGTCATGATATAGTATTATTTGCTGATGATACTTCCTTGATTTTTAAACTTAAACGTCAATCATTTAAATGTGACGAAGTGAATAATGCTATATCAAAATTAGTGCATTGGTTTAACGTTATTAATCTGCATTTGAACGGAAATAAAACTAATTGTGTTAAATTTACAACAACGAATGTTAAAAATCTGAATTCCAATGTGTTTTTCAATGGGGAGGAATTGAGCCCTGTTGTATCCACTGTTTTTCTTGGCATCACTCTTGACCCAAAGCTCCAGTGGGGCCCCCATATACACTAGGAACAAACACAAGCTAGTGATACCAGTTTTTCGACTCCACAGAGTCAGTAATTCATTCTTGGGGCAATGTATACACTATTACAACAAGGTCCCGGAAAGTGTACAGGTTCTCTCTATTACCAAGTTTAAATGTTTTATTAAGTTGATACTGTATAAAAAGGGTTATTATAGTATAAATGAATACATGGATGATAATAACCCCTGGGAATGAGGTGATCGCTTCCAAGCAGTTTCTAAAATAAATTTTTTAAATAGTTCGTAATCATTTATATTGTAAAATTTATTTTTAAAAAAAAGTCCCGCTGGGTTTCTTGCTGGTTCTTCCCAGGACAGAGGGTTTTTTCGAACCAGTGGTAAAGTAAAAAATGACTTTCACTAAGAATTACACATGTAATGTATATTGAATAAAAAATATTCTATTCTATTCTATACTATACTATAAAGTACAATGCACACCAAGTACATATTTTTTTTTACTATTACTTTTTTCAGGAAAATTTTTTTTCGAATCTAAAACGATTTTGTACTTGGTTTTATTTTATTTTATAATTTTTTGTAAAAATGTAATTATTATTTTTGTAACTATAGTTGAAAGTGTACTTGGCGTGATGCTTTACACTGAAACTGTTTTTGTTCGGATTTCATATCTTTTTGTAAAGTACACAATTTCTTTTTTTTTCAAATATCGCATACCTCATACCGCGAAGCGGTTGAGTGTGTGCTTTACTCTCAACACGTCAAGGTCAAGAAATTTTTTGCTCTTTAACTACCTCTACATCAACTGATTTGCACTCATAAGATAATATGAGTAGATTTATTTCACGAAAATTTAATCAATCTATCTCATATTTTGTACAAATCAATTTTATTTTGCTTTGATGCTTGTACTTTAAGCCATGTTTTCATCTATCGCAACTTGAGCCAGAAGATAGTTGGCAATATTATCTCAAGGCGTCTAAGCAGATAAACACCTTATGTTGAGAATATTGGTATGGCGGTAGGGATGTAACATCGCTCATAAAAAAGCGATATAAGAACCTCGATATTTTCGAAAGTGAAACATCGATTTAAAAAAAAAGGGTTGTTATGGTATAAATGAATACATGGTTGATAATAACCCCTGGGTATAAGTTGGTCGCTTCCAAGCAGTTTCTAAAATAAATTTTGTAAATGGTTTGTCATCATTTTGTAATTTAAAATTTATTTAAAAAATGTCCCTCTGAGTTTCTTGCTGGTTCTTCCCAAGACAGAGGGTTTTTTTTTCGAACCAGTGGTAAAGTAAAAAATGACTTTCAATAAGAATTACTCATGTAATGTATATTGAAAAAAAATATTCTATTCTATTCTATTCGAGCTATATGGCCGGTCCACTGCCACTTCAGCTTACTAATCCGTTGAGCTATATCGGTTACTCTGGTTCTACTGCGGATATCCTCATTCCTAAGTTTATCACGCAGAGAAACTCCGAGCATAGCCCTCTCCATAGCTCGCTGAGCGACCTTGAGCTTCCTCATACGGCCAGCAGTGAAGGACCACGTCTCAGTTCCATAAGTCATCACTGGCAACACGCACTGGTTGTACAATTTCGTTTTCAGATTTTGAGGTATGTCTGACAAGAAGATGTGTCGTAGCTTCCCGAACGCTGCCCAGCCGAGTTGAATCCGTCGATTGACCTCTCGGTCGAAGTTGGACTTACCTAGTCGGACTATTTGTCCCAGGTAAACATACTCGTCAACAACTTCGAGCTTAGTGCTCCCAACAACTACCGGCATAGTTGTGACTTGGACATTGAACATGATCTTTGTTTTGTCCATGTTCATCTTAAGACCTATCCGTTGGGAAACACTATCGAGGTCATTGAGCATAGTGCTTAGGTCCTCCAGCGATTCTGCCATAAGGACTATATCGACGGCAAATCGAAGGTGAGTGATGTAGTCGCCATTGATGTTGATACCGTATCCTTTCCAGTCCAGAAGCTTGAAAACGTCTTCCAATGCAGCGTTGAAGAATTTCGGGGATATGACGTCACCCTGTCTTACACCTCTCTGCAATTGGATAGGTTTCGTACTCTGGTTCTGTACTCGGATAGCCATCGTAGCCCTACTGTACAAGAACTTCAACACTTCGATATACCGACAGTCAACTTGGCACCGCTGAAGGGACTGCAGCACCGCCCAAATTTCGACGGAATCAAAGGCTTTCTCATAGTCCACATACGCCAGACATAGTGGCAAATTGTACTCTTCGGACTTCTGTACAATTTGCCGAAGGGTATGTATGTAGTCTATGGTGCTAAAGCCCTTTCGGAAACCGGCTTGTTCGGGAGGCTGGAAGTCGTCAAGTCTGCGCGCGAGACGATTCGTAATAGGACTCTCGAAAACAGCACGTAGACGCGGCTCAGAAGGGAAATCGGTCTGTAGTTCTTCAAGAGAGCGTTGTCACCTTTCTTGAAGAACAAGACCACCGCACTTCTGCTCCACGCCTCCGGTGTAATGCCACCATGGAGGACGGAATTAAAGAGCTTCTGAAGGACTTCAAGTACCGGTTTTCCACCCGCTTTCAGAAGCTCCGCTGTAATTCCATCCTCGCCTGGGGCCTTACCGTTTTTAAGGTGCTGGAGAGGCATTCTAATCTCGCTCAGACTGACGTCCGGGATATCTTCGGAATAGTGTCTTGCGTGTTGCTCCAACGATGACGTGTACAGCTGCGCATAGAACCTCTCAATCTCACTCAAAATCTCAGCTGTACCGGAAACGATGCTGCCACATTCTGTCTTCAGCTTTGACAGGTGGCTCTTTCTGGCAGACAGATCTCTGGCAAAGACTTTGGAGCCTTGGTTCCGCTCGATCGCTTCTTCAATACGAGCTGTATTGAAGTTGCGTAAGTCCCGCCGCATGCACTTGGAGATCTGTCTGTTCAAATGGCTGTATGCTGTCAAGTCTGTTGAAGAATGTAGCTTGATCTCCCGTCTAACAGCCATGAGATTGAGAGTGTGATCGGAGAGGTTTTGTGTTCTTCTGCGGCGGGTCTTGCAGAACTTAGCTCCGACCGCATGGACAGTTTCCACGAGCTTGTCATTTAAATCGTCCACTTCATTGCGGTCTTCTAGGCACTGAAAACGATTTTGTAACTCGAGCTGAAAGGTTTCGGGACTTTGGAACAGAGCACGAGGGGGACGGAGCGTTGACTTTATGTTGTTGTACAACGTTGACGAGACCTCTCCAACTTAACGTTTAGGTTCAGTATACCTCTAACCATTCGGTGATCGCTACCAGTTTTCACCCTCGCGATCACGGAGACATCACTGAACAGTTGTCGTCTGGTCGTCATAATGAAGTCAATCTCATTTTTGTCGAACCGTGAACTGACAACCGATGGGGAAGAAAGGTTCTTGAGTGGCAGCCTCGTATCGGTAGGCGAAGTGTAGGGCGTCCCCACACGAGATGGAGTGACGACCTGGTAAGACATGCAGGAAGTCGATGGATGCAGGTGGCTCAGGACCGTGCTTTGTGGCACTCTTTGGGGGAGGCCTATGTTCAGCAGTGGACTTGTGAAGGGCTGTAATGATGATGATGATGATGATGATTCTATTCTATTCTAAAAACATCAAAGTATATGAATAGAATATTACTACATTCTATTGACGATGGAG